AATAATCGTAGTTACACGTATTCGTCCACCTTTATTCTGCAGTGCTGAAACAAGTGAATTCTAATTCAATAGCCCCATGGAACTTAAGCTATGAAAGGGTACTTTTACTTTTTGTTTTTTTACATCCTACGTGAGTGCGCGTGTTAACGAGCACGTACATTTTTTTTTACAATTTTACATTAGAAAGACAATTAATCAAGGACAAATTAATTATGCATGATAGAATTCAGAATTGTGGTTATTCAATGTATGGGGGGGGGGGGGGGGCTGAAACCGCTAGCCAGATTCATTTTAAAATCTGCGTCACCATAGCAACCGCGAATGCTTAGCTACCGTGAAGAACCCATTCAAGCATTGATTCTCCCGATACACGGGTCACCGAAGGGCTTGGGACGTAGACTAGGGATGTTAGTTTTAAACTGCTGGTGATTTCAACGTGTGGTTATTTAACTACAGGATCATGTACCCGCTTATTATATAACGCATTTTAGAGGTGACAACGGGAGTTCGGCGTGGTCGAGTCGGTAAAGCTCATGGTTGCTAAACCGAAAAGTCTCGAGTTCGAACCCTCGGGCAGATGAGGCTCGTTAGCTGGGGACAGCCACTCTTCTAGGAGAGACAACTCCAAAATTAAACAACTGCTGCCTTGTAGTTTGTTCTTGGTTGGACAAAGGCTATGGAAGCAAATCCAAAAAGAAAAGCAGGCTGAAATCGGAGTCAATGGCCTCAATGGCGCATAACCAGTTGACACGTAACGCTTAATTGTGTTGAAGGCGTGGTCGAGTCGGCTAAAAGCTCATGGTTGATAAATTCGAACAAAGTCTGGAGTTCAAACCCACTGGCAGATAAATCTCGATCCCCTTCAACACTAATAATTAAGAACGAAGAAGAAGAAGGAGAGGTGACAACGTTTGGTTCATATTGGTATTGGTATTCTTGTTGTTTTAAAAACAATTTATGAGTTTATAGAAAGTTCATAGTTAAATATCGAATTCGAACCCTCGGGCAGATGAGGCTGGGGACAGCCACTCTTCTAGGAGAGACAACTCCAAAATCAAACAACTGCTGCCTTCTAGTTTGTTCTTGGTTGGACAAAGGCTATGGAAGCAAATCCAAAAAGAAAAGCAGGCTGAAATCTGAGTCAATGGCCTCATTGGCGCATAACCAGTTGACACGTATCCTTAATTGTGTTGGGGGAATCCCTTCTAACATTAACAATTAAGAACGAAGAAAAAGAAAGATGAAGATTGAATATATTGGAAAGCCGTACGCTGTGTACAAAGAAAGTTTCAGTGGTATTTTTTTTACTATTAACATTAACCACTTGTGATATTTCTTACAAATTTTTTATTCAAAAAGTTATTTTTTCAACTGCTTTTATTTTCTCTTTCTTAGAATTAAAATAAATAAATGAACACATTTTGTATTCAAAAAGTTATTTTTTTTCCACTGGAATTTTTTTTTCTTTGTTAGAACAAAAATAAATGAATGAACAAATTTAATAAAACAAATATTTTAGTGAAATTGTATAAATGTCATCACGAAAGTGTTACGTAACACTAACCGACCAGTTTTCGACTCTGCTAATCAAAGCACCATTAGGTCAAAGTGTGACTCTCATTGCACAATCCACATTTGATTTTGTTTTTAAACCTACCCTTTTAACGAAATTCATACGACATTCATCGTGTTAGAATCCCTTTCATCGACCTCGGCTCTTTAAAAATGCATTAGCAACGTAGTTACCCTTAAAACTTTAAAGTGGTTTGACCTTTCAAAGTGTTATATAAGTCATTAGCTGTGTATCGCCCAGATCTTGTAACTGGGAGTCGTGGAGTAGTTCATTTTGCCTAGAAGCTGTTAAAACGGTTACTGCTCCAATCTTAAAAAAAAAAAAATTAAATTAAAAAAAAAAAATAAGCGCCCCTAAAATTAACTTCATGGCAATCCTTTTTAATTTAGTATTTTTTATGAATTGTCTCGTTGTTTCTATTCCTTTAACAAAGTTTTAATAACTCCAATCATCACGTTAGGTAAAGTTTAGTGAAAGGCCTAGTTATAGCTATCATCATCATCATATTTTCAGTTCATGCCCAAGACATTTGAGGCAGATGAAGTAGAGTTCATCTGTTTCGATGACCTCGGCATACAGGGGTCAGTGCTGTTACCAGCCGCCTAGGATTTCATAACGTGAGTCAGGTACCCACCAGAGCTGGGTAACTCAGGGACGTCATATAGACACAAGCCCACGATCCGAACCATAAATTTTCGGGTCAGCAGTCGTGCGCTCTACCATACGAACACACCCTCTTCTAGTTAAAGTTAGGGGTCGTCCATAAATGACGTCACACTCGTAGGGTCCGTAAATTAGTGACGGTGGGTGATGAGGGGGAGAGGGTTCAGATGGTGCGACGTTACGCTTTTTCATTATAAAAAAAAAGCAATGTTAGAAAACGAGTTTTAGCCGTTATTTCGCGTTTTAGAAAACGGTTTTAATAAATTGTAATAGGATTTAATCGAAATACTCTCTGTTAAACATGGAAAAATATCGATGTTTTAAGAAAAATTCAACTGCAATTTTGAGGGGAGGGGGAGGGGGGGGGGGTTGTAGGCTGAGGTGTGACGTCATTTTAGAGCGGGGTCTAGCTTTTTGTGACGACGTGTGACGGAGGGGAGGGGGGAGGTAAAAATCGTCAAAAAAGCGTGACGTCATTTATGGATGACCCCTTAAGTAAAAATGCCACTTTAGACTAAGCGAGCCATTGGGGCAGATAGAGTAGAGCGCATATGTTTCTTGACCTCTGCATATTGAAGGGATAATGTGGTCAACACTACGCCCAGCCGCCTTTACTTTCCCTAACGTGAGTTAGGTAACCATCAGAGCAGGGTGGACTTATGAACGTTCCAAGACTTGAAACCGAGATACGAACTCGAGACTTCGGGTTAGCAGTCTAGCGCTCTACCACTAGGCCACGCCTATTCTAGTTATAGTGGTGGTACAGTTTCTATTTTATTCAGCTTTTGTTGTTGACAATGTGAAAAAAAAAAGAGATCATTTGTGAAATCTAAGTTTTCAAGTTGTAGGCTCTATTAACATAGGGTAACACCAAGGAACGAAACGGATTAGCGTGATTATGAAGTTGTGTCAATATCCACTGTATTCCTGTTGATGTGGTGTCCTACAGTGTGTTTCGTAATTCAGTCAACCATCCGTAAAAATTTCAACCGTGATCGCAGATAAATGAGTACTACTTCCGGTAAACGGAAATAACTCAAAATTTGACAGAAGGTAGAGAATTAGATTTATACTTATATGACTGAAATTTCGTCTATCTGAAACAATACTCAAGTTATAAGCTTTTGAAAAACATCAAGTAAAATAAGTTCCATTTCTGGTTATTGGAAATCGCTGAAAAGTTGATATAAAACTACAAATTTGATATAATAATTATAAATGAAATGTCATCAACCTAGCGGTAACGGTACTGAAGCTATCGTGTTCACAGACACACAGACACACAATCACACAGACACCACACTACTTTCTTTGCAATCAGGAACTTCAGTAGTTTATTTTACAGAATTGATGTTAGAAATAACAATAATCAAATATATAAATATTTGAAGATCAACTTCGAATTTTTGCTTTAAATACAATTTCAACATACGGAAGACCATTCAGAACTGATTGCGTTCACTCATCAAGCAGGTTTATTATTTTAGAATGAATTTATTAAAACCCTGTATAACCTCCCATCTTACTATATAAACCAGCAAAGGGAAACAATGTAGATACAAAATGCCGAATGATAAAACTAATAGTAAGGCAGTACACCAAACGTTAGAAAATATTTAACTTATACGACAAAAGTAATAATAAAAATATTTTCAAATAATAATATTATCTGTAATTATAAATTCATTAAAATTAAAAACTTTAATACAGCTTTGATTTACAAGCTTTAACTTTATTTATTTTTAGTTACTTTTAAATTTTGAAAATGTCCTACATGGTCATTCAGTTTGCAATTTCATGGTTTTTAAAAAAATAAAATTGTAATTAGACGTTTTGTATTAGATCTATGTAAACTAAACCATCTTAAATGAATGAAAGTAGGCTATATGTAAGAAAGAAGTATTACTATTATAAATCTGTATCAGTCCTCACAAGCCTTTGATGAAAACTGTAATACTAAAGTGAACATGCAAGGCAAACTGACACTGTAAATTATATATGAGGCGGAAAAAAAAGAAAGAACAAATAAATTAATTAAAAAATCTTGTTTAACATAACATAATGATACCCCACGCAACTAAACATTAGCATTTTCATGATTAAAATAAATTGTAATTATACGCTTTGTATTATGTATAAGTAAACCATCTTAAATGAATGAAAGTACATGACAGAAAGAAGTAGACTTCTTATTTAAACTTGATATCAAATTAAAAACGTGAAAAGAAATGTCGTTAATTTCTTCTGTATTCTATGTCTTTGCTCTCCTGTATTCCACCCACCCCCTCCACACTCACACACTTTCACGAATCCCCCGACCAAATAAACATAAGTTGTTTTTTTTTTAATAATTACTATAAATAACCTTCAGAAACAAAACAAACTTCTTCTTCTTCGTTCTTAATTTTAGTATCGGAAGGATCCCCCCTCCAACACAATTAAGGATACGTGTCAACTGGCTATGCGCCATTGAGGCCATTGACTCTGATTTCAGCCTGCTTTTCTCTTTGGATTTGCTTCCATAGCCTTTGTCCAACCAAAAACAAACTACAAGGCAGCAGTTGTTTGAATTTGGAGCTGTCTCTCCTAGAAGAGTGGCTGTCCCCAGCTAACAAGCCTCATCTGCCTGAGGGTTCGACCTCGAGACTTTTCGGTTTAGCAACCATGAGCTTTACAGACTCGACCACGCCGACCCCTACAAAACAAACAATTTAGGTTTGAAAAAAAATGATAAATTGAATGATTTTTCTTTTTTTCTTTTTAGAGAGCTTAGAATGTCATAATCATAGAATTATGACATCTACTTTTGTCACGATGACACCTGAGAAGTGTCACTCTGCATGACCTGACAACCCCACACCTGTTAGAACACCGGCAACCGGCTAGAATGCCGGCAATGGACCGGCGTCTCAGTCAGGAGGTCGACCGGATGGACGGCAACGAGAGGTTTCGCCAAATTGTCTCCAGCGACAACTCGAAGGTGCTGGGCTCGCTGCTCATGGAGCTGGGGCCATCCGAGGCTAAGAAACTGATCGACGAGTGCTACAGGTGAGTAGGTTTTTTGTGTTAACAGGTGAGTAGGTTTTGTTGAGTTTACAGGTGAGGCGAGTAGGTTTTTGTTGAGTTTACAGGTGAGGTGAGTAGGTTTTTGTTGAGTTTACAGGTGAGTAGGTTTTTTTTGAGTTTACAGGTGAGGCGAGTAGGTTTTTGTTGAGTTTACAGGTGAGGTGAGTAGGTTTTTGTTGAGTTTACAGGTGAATAGGTTTTTGTTGAGTTTACAGGTGAGTAGGTTTTTGTTGAGTTTACAGGTGAGTAAGTTTTTGTTGAGTTTACAGGTGAGGCGAGTAGGTTTTTGTTGAGTTTACAGGTGAGTAGGTTTTTGTTGAGTTTACAGGTGAGTAAGTTTTTGTTGAGTTTACAGGTGAGTAAGTTTTTGTTGAGTTTACAGGTGAGGCGAGTAGGTTTTTGTTGAGTTTACAGGTGAGTAGGTTTTTGTTGAGTTTACAGGTGAGGCGAGTAGGTTTTTGTTGAGTTTACAGGTGAGGCGAGTAGGTTTTTGTTGAGTTTACAGGTGAGGCGAGTAGGTTTTTGTTGAGTTTACAGGCGAGGGGAGTAGGTTTTTGTTGAGTTTATAGGTGAGGCGAGTAGGTTTTTGTTGAGTTTACAGGTGAGGCGAGTAGGTTTTTGTTGAGTTTACAGGTGAGTAGGTTTTTGTTGAGTTTACAGGTGAGGCGAGTAGGTTTTTGTTGAGTTTACAGGTGAGTAAGTTTTTGTTGAGTTTACAGGTGAGTAGGTTTTTGCTGAATTTACTGGTCGTCATAATATGTTTTTGTTGTGTTTATGATTGAGGCTATCTGGTTTTTTTTCAACTATGGCTACACTAGCCTAAAACATATCCTTTACTCTAGGCCCTAGGCCCTAGGCTAAATCCTAGCCTACCTTGATCTAACCCTTGACCTTAACCCTAAACTTAATCTTAACCTTGACCCTAACATCAATACCGTTAGAAAACCGAACTCGATACGATTTCATATTACCATACCCGCTTTTCCATACAAATCACAAAAAAAAAATTAAGACAATATATTTCTTTTCAAAAAAAAAAATTTTTTTTAAATTATAAAACATCACCTCTCTGCCGATCTATTTTCTATGGTCACGTCGTGTTCTAGGGCGTACCCCGAGCCGGCACTGACCCAGTGCGTCAAGAGGGACGGGCACGGTCAGCACAAGAAGCACGAGGACATTGTCGTCTGCTGTCGTCTGCTGCTCAAGTACGGGGCGGACGTCAACAAGAGAGACAAAGCGGTAATTTCTCAATAGGGCTGGTAAGTAGGTCACCAATTAATTCTACGGCTCAATAAAATCTGCATGAGCCATAGAAATGGTTGGTGACCTACTTACCAGCCCTATTAGTCTTATTAAGGCACCATTGTGATTGCTATTAATTATGTCTATTAGCATATTAATACTCTCATATTAATACTTCAACCCAGCTTTTTGTTCAAGAGAACACGGGAGTCCCCCCCCCCCAAATAAGGATAATAAGGGGGGGGGGGGGGGGGTATATGCAAAGGATGACAGCTTAATTCAGGTTTTAAATGGCGCAAAGAGTCAATGTTTTTAAATTTAATTTCCTTCTTCAAATAAATATATTATTGAGTCTATATTTTATTATAATAAAGTACATTAAATCCATCAAACTTTATTAAAGCATTATACATGTAGACACAACCCGTATATCCGTTAGTATTTTCTTTTATAAGAAGTTGTGGAAAAAATTAAAGCTGTTAGTCAAATTCCTCATTATAAGAGTCTAAGTGGGATATCGGAGCCTCAGGCTTGCGTTCATTAGCCTAGTTTAATTAAATTGGTTGGATTTTAGATTGAAAGTTGTCGCCTGTAGCTTTAAGGGCGTGGCGACTAGTGAAGAACGCGGTGTTTCTCCCAAACGTTTTTTCCGGGGGGTGTGGGGGGGGGGGGGGAGCGGAAAAAAATTTCTGCGGGGGAAGGGGGGGCGGACAATGTTAAAAGTGTATATTTTCTATATAAATACCATTTCGTTTGGGGTGGGGTAGACTTTTTTCGGGGGAGGAGGTGCGGGGCAGAGAAGAGATGCCTAGAAGAAACTCTGGCTGAACTTGGTAAAGATTGTTACCATACATCTTTGATTCTGATGTCAATAAATTGCTTCTTGTTTCGTTAATGGAATATTATTTTTAAGTGTAACTAGTTTACTGCCTAAATCGTGCAGTTCCGTGTTTGACTAAAGTTTTTATCTTCCAGAAAAAGACAGCCCTGCACTGGGCATGCGCACTGAAGAACGACAGCATGGTCAAGCTGTTGCTGGAGTGTGGTGCTGACCCTTCCATTGTCGACAACTACGGGTTCAATTCCCTGCACGTCGCCGTGAATGTTGGCGCCATCGAGTGTGTCAGGCTTATTCTGGCATCAACTCGACAGGTGAGGATGTCTTTGTTACACCTGTAGGGGTAGAACGTCTTTGTTACATCTGTAGGCGGAGTACGTCTTTGTTACACCTGTAGGGGGTACGTCTGTGTTACACATGTAGGGGAGTAGGTCTTTGTTACACCTGTAGGGGGTACGTCTTTGTTACATATGTAGGTAGAGTACGTCTTTGTTACACATGAAGGTAGAGTACGTCTTTGTTACACCTGTAGGGGGTACGTCTTTGTTACACCTGTATGTGGAGTAGGTCTTTGTTACACCTGTAGGTGCAGTAGGTCTTTGTTACACCTGTAGGTGGAGTACGTCTTTGTTACACCTGTAGGTGGAGTACGTCTTTGTTACACCTGTAGGTGGAGTACGTCTTTGTTACATCTGTAGGTATAGTACGTCTTTGTTACACCTGTAAGGTGTGCGTCTTTGTTACACCTGTAGGTGACGTCTTTGTTACACATGTAGGTGGAGTACATCTTTGTTACACCTGTAGGTTGAGTAGGTCTTTGTTACACATGTAGGTAGAGTACGTCTTTGTTACACCTGTAGGTGGTGTACGTCTTTGTTACACCTGTAGATAGAGTACGTCTTTGTTACACCTGTAGGGAAGTAGGTCTTTGTTACACCCGTAGGGAAGTAGGTCTTTGTTACACCTGTAGGTGGTGTACGTCTTTGTTGCACCTGTAGGTGGTGTACGTCTTTGTTACGCCTATAGGGAAGTGAGTCTTTGTTACACTCATTGGTGGAGTACGTCTTTGTTACATCTTTTATTAGGTATACGTCTTTGTTACACATGTAGGTGGTGTACGTCTTTCTTACACCTTTTATGGGGAAATCGTCTTTGTTACACCTGTAGGGGGAGTACGTCTTTGTTACACATGTAGGTGACGTCTTTGTTACACATGTAGGTGACGTCTTTGTTACACACGTAGGTCGAGTACGTCTTTGTTACACCTGTTGGTGGAGTACACATAACATGTTGACATTAATACTAAATTGAGGTGAAGGAAATCCTCACTAATACACCAATTTAAGAAAGTTTAGACGAGTAATGAAGGTTGTTGTTGTTAATTTCTTTCCCAAACTATGACTAAGTTTAACTTGCAACGGTTGTCTTTAAGTGTTGTGTTATTAACAATGGCATTTAATGGCATTAATTTTAGGCGCCATGAGAGTTGGAATCACTGAGTCAGTGGCGTACTTTAACCTGTTTTGGGTATTTAGTTCGTTTAACTAATTTGATATAATCTTGTGAAGTCCAAATAAAAAGCAAAGGGCTACAACTACACCGCTCCAACGGAATCTGTTGTGGACGGCTCTCTTCATTCGGGCTCACGTTGGCCCTATAGAGTCAATTATTCCTCTTTATTTACTCTCAAAGAATTCTTCATTATCTCCCTCTTAAAATCGTACTCGTTTATGCCTTGAGATCATCTTCATCTTACAAATCCATTTTCATTATCCAATTCAAGGTCATCTCCATTACCCTGTTCAATGTCAAAGTCCTCATCTTTAAGTTCCTCTCTCTTTATTAAATCCATCTCAATTTCTTCTCCATTAATTCCCTCTCGCGGTCATCTCTACTCCCCACAAGGTCATACCCTTTAACCCCCACATGCCTCCTACAACAAGGTACGAGTCACGAGAATCAAACGTCTTTAACGTCGGCGCTAGAGCGCACAAAATTATAAACCTTCCTAGCGCTGTCATTACCTGACACTAAAATCGATACAAGAACATTTGTGAATGGAACGGCCGCCAATTTTTATCGATTTTCTTTCTCTTAAGGAATTGTCGACGTTTTTTTCCCCCCTTCTAATCAGCTAACTAACTAGGGGCAAGCACTCACAATTTAGATACTGTTTTCTGTATAAGTTATGTTTCTTATTCTTGCCAACAATGCAATTCTTTTTTAACAACGACTGGGTTTTTATTTCCCTTAGCTATCGCGGCCATCGAGGCAAACAGAAATTATATAGTTCTTATAGCATTTTAAATGCGTTAAGAAGTTATACTCTAAGATGTTAACATGCAGATGGAAAGCTGGCCTATACTGATCGACTTCATGCTCTATATATAACTACACACACACACTTATATATATATATATATATATATATATATATATATATATATATATATATATATATATATATATATATATATATATATGCACATACCCAAATTCATACACATATGCTTTTAGGACTGGTAAGTAGGTCACCAACCAGTTCCACTGCTCACTAAAACCTGCATGATCCATAGAACTGGTTGGTGACCTACTTACCAGCCCTATAGGGCACTGTAGTTAAGAGCGTAGCGGCGTAGCCTGTAGGGGTGTTGAGGGGCGGCCGCTCCTCCAAAATATTTATAGTAAAGCGGCGTTGTTTTTTTAAATTCATAAATTTATTTAGTTCAGAGATTAACCCAACTAACACATACACCTACTAATACTAACTAATATCTTTACTAATACACTTGTACATTCAAATGCGCTTGTACTTAGATGACAACCGTTATTAATTTAAATAAATAACAAATATGGCTCTTCCATCAATTAGACAGGCTGTTGTCAACTCGCTAACTCCAACAGCTCTTTGTTTTGGTTTAACGCCCTGAAATTAAATAAAAAATCAATACCAGCACACGACGACTGATCAATATCGGTTAACCGTGACGTCTGCTTAACAAAACACCATAACACATTTATGTCGGGCTGTAATTATGGGATGGCACATGATTAAAAAACCAATCAGCTTTATTAAACGCAGCTCTGGCGAGATCACATAAGAAGATTCATTTCGTTAGTTTTTCTTTAGGCTCTCCGCGAAGACAACATAAATATTAATCAATGTTTTGTTTTATTTTCTGTGGTGAACTGTTCTCATTTTTTCCCACGTGTTTTGATGAACGCAGCTGACGGACAAGCACGATGGGAACGGAAGCACCGCCATCTTGACGGCCGTAGAGAATGGAAACATTGACCTGGTCAAAGTTCTGGTAACGGCTGGCGGTGACGTCAACCTTCAGGAAAGAGACACCAAGAGAACCCCGCTCCACTATGCTCTCTACCTCAAACACAAGGACATTTTCGAATTCTTATTGAAGTAAGTAAACAGTAAACAGATTTGATACTGTATATCTTTATTGTTGTTTTTGTTTCTATTTTAATCTCTATTCTTGAAAATCTGAGAAACGTCATTGGCGTTGTTGCCTACATTGTATATAAACTAATTCACACACAAAAAAATGCATACATATGCAAATATATATACATACATACAGACACACACACATATATATATATATATATATATATATATATATATATATATATATATATATATATATGCATTTATGTGTGAATATATATATATATATATATATATATATATATATATGAATATAATATATATATATATATATATATATATATATATATATATATATATATATATATATATATATATATATATATATGTCGTCTTTGTTGAAGCAGTTCTCTCTTATCCTTTCTTCACTGGCACTGAAGAAGTACAAATTCAAAAACAAATGTTGAGATCGAAACCTAAGTTATTGAAATTCTACAAAAATTTGCCTAGTTGCCATGACGACAGCCTGAACCTACAGATAACGAGACGGTCTCATTTAGTCGGGACATAGACGGGACGCGATGATTAGCTTGTCACGTGCCCATCAACCAATCAGAATATTGGAGATTTACCACTCTTTCGTTTTGGAATGTGATTGAGTACGTTATTGAGATCTTTCATGCCGAACCGCTATATAGAGACCATCGGATGATGTTGGATTTTTTTTTTAAATCCTCGTAATTTGTGTTCTCGATGTTTTTTAAAGACAATGTGTTGTATTGTTGTAAACTGTGACAATACATCAACAGTTCCAATCCAAGTGAGTTTTATGTTACCTGTAGTATATTATTTATATTACTATATAATACTAACACTAGCCTTAAGCTACTTTCTACCTAAGCCTGAACTAATGCAACTGGACTGCCAATAACAGAACTTCACATATGTAGAGGAAAAATAAATTACTTAGTTGAGTGTGAAGTTTCTTTTGAAACTAAAACTTGACAGAGATGAGTACTAAATGCTGAAACTACTATGGCGATCAAATGAGTACTAAAAAGTGAAATATACGGTTCGAACCCTATGAATTCAACACGATACTGGTTTAAAAATATCTGCGGGCAAGCAACGCAAAGCCGAAATATTCAGAGATCGAGTTTTAGTCTAAAATTTTGTTTGCGAACAGTTTTATTTATGACGAATCGAAACGGTTTCGGATAAAATAATTTTTAAATACCACTTGTCGCTAATATCACAAGATCTGCACATGTTTGAAAATTGCTCTGTAATACAGTACAATCGATGAAAGTAAAGACACATAGGGTTCATATATTGGAACGAAAAAATTTGAAAGAAACAAATACAGGTATACAATACAGATGTACAATATAGGTGTACAATACAGGAATACATTTCAGATGTATAGTAATGGTGTATAATACAGGTGTACACTGTAGGTATATTTTAATGGTGTAAAATACAGGTGTATAAAACAGATGCAAAATACAGGTGTACAATACAAGCGTCATCTATCGTATTAAAGAAGTCCAAGCACCCAGTCATTTAAAGAACTGTAGTGCTACATCTGGACTAAGTTAACCGTTTAAAACTTACTACCGAAAGCCAAAGCTCAACACCCGTTGACAGTGTTAGTATGTTCGAGACGAATTTGTATTAGAAGAACAGAATATAGAACTGGAAAACAACAAGACTAAAGTGATACAAGTAGGGGGTGAACTGGCTGTGTCCATGCGACCAAAGGATTTTCCCTCTAGAAATAAGGTATTCTTCTACAAAGAGCTTTGTTTTCAGAAGGTACTGCATGTTTCAGATTGCTATCTCGTTTTCAAATGTAAACACATTTTTTAGCCGTCGAGAAAGAAATTAAAAGTAAAAAAAAGTCCATTTAAAATATTTTATGAAATGTGCTTGAATGTAAAGCCAATGCTTAATGAAAAAAAAAGGATGAATCCTAATTTTGAACATCTGAGCATCAATTTTCAATAAGTTCAAATTCACATATATGTGAAAAAAAAAATTGCATTATTAAATTTTAAATATTAAAATAGGCTAGTTTCCTCCCATTTAAAAAGTTGATTGATTTAAGGGAGACAAAACTATTAATTTCTCAAAAATAGTTTTAAAAAGAAACAAATAAAAAACCACAGTTATTTAATGACAATAAAGTTAAAATATATAAAAGTATTTTATTATATATTACTAAACGTTAACATTTTATACTGTATATGGCTATTTTACAATTTGGTGTAGGTCGTACATGTTATATTTATCACTTAGACATAGTTTAAATAGAAAACATTAGAAATATTAAATATTGTTTCTGTATAATTATAATTGATATGAGAAGCTTTAGATATAACTTACAAATTTATTTCAGCTGTGGTTAAAAGCCCATCCATACAAATTCAACACACCCACTGAAAACGACAAAAATACCCTTCTGTCGTTGCCCCACAATTCAGTTACACATTTGCATTTAAAGGTTTAAAATAAAATTGTAATTAGAAGTTTTTTGTATTAGGTATAAGTAAAACATCTGGAATGAAAAAGTAGGCCTATATGTCAGAAAGAAGTATTACTACTCTAAATCTGTATCAGTCCTCATAAGCCGATGATGAAAATTGTAAAAATAAAACGAACATATCAAGGTAAACTGACGCTGTAAATTGCATGTCTGAAGCAGGAAAATAAAAAAGTAGAAAAACAATTACAATTATAAAAATACGAAAATCTATAAGTATTACTTTTAGGATAGCACTCAAATTGCAGGCTAATATTACAATAGTCAGCCCTTCAATACAAAAAAATAAAATTCACATTATCCCCTATAACCAACAACAAACAGTAAACCGTCATACACAATAAATAAAACTAGAGGTGTATTGATGATTTGTGTGAGATACCGTATGGTCAGCTCAGAATAAATAGGTTTTTTTATTTTATTTTCTCGTATACAGAGTTTAGAGGAAGTATTGTAATCGTGCACGAAAATAAACCGGGAGAGAGACCCCCTAAACTTTCTCGAATATGCTTATATAACACTACGGGGGGGGGGGGGTGGCAACAGGATTTCGACATGATTTTTAATCAATTTTTAATTACTTAAACTTTTTAAAATAGAATAGAATCTCGTAGAAGTAGTATATTAGGTCCCTTTTGGGTCGCATTTGGGTGGCGCAAAGGTTATATAGCAAAATACTCGGATCCGCAGGAACAATGACATATAGCAAAATACTCCCTAGGGTGGCGCAAAGACATATAGTAAAATACTCCACCATCTGGTGGTGGCGCAGGGTAGGGGATGGGGGTGGGGGGTGGAGAAGAGTGGGGTGGTGGGGGAGAGGGGGAGTGGTGGTGGTGGTGACCTGGGGGTGGTGGTGGTGGCGCAGCAAGGGGTTTGTTTATTTGATTTCTTTGTATGTATGTTTAATAGTAAACGGAGAGGGGTGTTGGTGGATGAGAGGGGAGTAATGATGGGTTTGAGGGTAGGGGTGTGCTAGTTGTACTTTGTGAATAACATCCATCAACCAGACACGTAACACCTGTTACGTATCGACCGCCCGCGAAGTTTTCAGGGCTGTGCGTTTTTTTAATGGGAATGTATTGATCGCACCCACGGGGCCATCACACCTAATTAAATCTTGTTATGCTTCACCGATTTTATGTGTTGTTCGCCGAAACGAACACAGCAGGCGTAATTTTAATGTATTTTTTAATTAGTTTTAATGAGTTTTTAAATTTTTAATTAATTTTTATTATCGAGTTACGTAATTTTAATGTGTTTTTTAATTAGTTTTAATGAGTTTTAAAAATTTTAATTAATTTTTTATAAACGAGTTACGTAATTTGATTATTTGTTTGAGTTTTTAAATTTTTTAATTAATTTTTATTATCGAGTTACGTAATTTAATTACTTTGATTGTATTTTTATTTTGTTTAATTTGTTTGTTTACTTGTTGTTTAATTTAATTACTTTGTTTATATTGTGTAATTTTTTATTAACGAGTTACGTAATTTGATTATTTGTTTACTTTTTAATTATTTTTATTTTGTTTATTTTTAATTTAATTTTATTTTATAATTAGTTAAATTATTATTAACTAGTTACGTAATTTGATTTTAATTACTTTTGTTTATTTATTTATTTATTTGATATATTTCTTTTCTTTGATGTATGGTATTTAAAATAAAAGACACTGTTTATTTGATTTTAAACGGATAGGGGTGTTGGTGGATGAGAGGGGGAGTAATGATGGGGTTTGAGGGTAGGGGTGCGTTAGCGTGTACTTTGTGAATAACACACATTAACCGGACACGTAACATCTGTTACGTATCGACCGCCCGCGAAGTTTTCCGGGCTGCGTGTTTTTAATGGGAATGTATTGATCGCACCCACTGGGCCATCACAGCATGATGTCCCACCTAATTAAATTTTTGTTATGCTTCACCGAGTTTCCCCCACTCGGTTGACAGGTTATGGTAATTTACGACGTACATTAAGTGGCTTTCCGCGAAGTACGTAGGTCATTATGCAACAGCTGTGTAATATCGATCGCATCCACTGACCATCACACCTAATTAAATTGGTCACACATCGTAAGTGTAGCGACATCGGTAACTATTCGCTTATAGCGAGGTCAGCGAAAACCGATCGATTTGTCAGCTCCGTGAAGCCCTTTAGGTAACAGCTGGTGCTGTAATTAGTCACGGCTCTTGGCTTTTTTCATTAGATTACAGCTGTCCATGAACTATGTTCACATATCGTACGCCCGGTCATTCTTTGATCAAATTAAAAATTTTTGTTTCCACATGTCCTACGAACCGTCCCTTGCTATGTATGAAAGATTAATGGTTGTAACTATTCGCTTATAGCGAGGGTCAACGAAAACAAAATATATTTAAGGGTCGGAATTTTCTTTCAACCAACGTTAAATCAGGTTTTGAGACGAAACGAGGTCTCGGTAGGTTCGTGCTTTTTAATAGGCGACAGGGGC